GGGTTTAGGGTTTAGAAGTTTAGGGTCTAGGGTTTAGGGTTTAGAAGCTTGGGGTTTGGGGTTCTAAAGCCCCCAAACAGAGGAAGCCAGAGGCGATCCTGAGGTTCAACAACGCCAGCCCCTATCGAGTTCGAATTGGAGTTGGTTAGGACTGCAGCAGAAGACCTCACCCAAAGGCCTAATCTAAGCCCAAGGTACGCAAGCATTAACGTTATAGTTGTGACTGCATACTTATAGTCATGAGAACTATCAAGATCGTAATAGTATAGTAACAATAACCCTACACTCTACAAGCTGAAAGACAACTGCTACGAAACAGTGATGTAGAAGGCCCTCGCAACACGGACCGGATAAAGGGTTTTTTCCCTTGACTTCAGGAATATGTCACGGAGTATCCTCCCGATCCGGAGACGCTGTCTCAAATCGACCAGTACCAGCTGACGAAGTTCAGGGATGCGTACGATGGGGCGCACTTTCTCCTTCCTTGCGAGGCACGGCTGGGTCTACATCAACTTGATAGGGGGAGTGCCTAGAAAAGGGTGCTACCTTTGGCTGGTTTAGGGTTTTTGGTTGTAGCGTCCTGTCCAGCTAGGGCTTAGGCTTTTCAGGGTTGTCTACGATCCTACCTATAGTCTCCATTGTAGTAACCCCCAAAAAGGAGCTACAATGGAGACTATAGAGACTATAGGTCAACCCCGCTGCAGGATTCGCAGTATTGGTCCGGACTGCTGGCCCTCGTGCTGCAGGGGTCGGTGCTGAGGGTGGTCGCCTACCTAGGCCTTCGCTTTACAAACCGCGCCAGGCAAATCTGAGAGCTCTGCGCCTTCGATCTTCGAACCCGAAGCCCAGACCCAAGTCTTACATAACAGGGGCCTAAATAATTGCCTATACTATTTTGGGGGTTCCTTATTGTAATTATAGTGTAATATACCCCAAAACCCTATTCTGGTTTTTAGGCCCCTCTATTACCCCAGCGTTTTGAAAACTACGATTCCCAAATTATGAGACATTCTGAAAAGATCAGGTTGATATTGCACCAGCCTCTGTGACAAGTCCTTACCACGGATTCCCTCCATTGTTGTTCCGTTTTAAAGACTACAAAGTTTTTTCGAATTATAGGGCACCCAGAAAACTGACGAACGAAGGAAAGGATTTCCTTGCAACATGTGCCATCCATTCCAGCATTGCTTATTCTAGATGCCTTCGAGATCGCCTTCTTATCTGATGTGGCGTTGGGCTGGAGACCTGTTACCCAATATGTGCCAATTTGTATAGTTGAAACTTCCAGAGTTGCGACCACGTCCTTGGTCGTCCTCCACTGGCGAAAATGGGATCCGAAGATTGAGGATGTTATGCCACTTAACTCCCAGCCCTAAACTGAAAACCCGAAACCCTTGGACGTTAATGTGAAGGGTCGTGTGCTGAATGCGACTGGCTGAGGAGGAAGATGAAACAGCCCGGTAGCTTGCAGACTCAAGGAACCCTACCCATAGTCTCCATAGTAGCTTCTTTTTGTTTTAAGCAGTTCTATATCTAGAACGCTCAAAAGACCCCTTCAAGTAATTACACTGGAGACTATCGGTACCACATCGCGGGTTTGATAGCATATCCGCCTTTCCCAAAACCCGGGCCCCTGAACCCCTTGGGGTTTGAAGATTGTCCGCGGAATCGCACGCAGACGACACAGAGCTCTCGGGGACATGGGACGTCGTTGCCTGTGCCTAGCCGGAACGGTTGGGCTCGGCGACTGGTGTAGACCTACGGGTAGTTCTCGAAATTAGGGCCCTTTTTAGTGTCCTTTTTATGAGGGTGTCGTACTATTGTGGGGACCCAAAACGGGACCGTAATTCAGAGAACTACCCCTATACACGCGGCAAGAGCTTTGGCTCTATGTGCTACTTCAAGACGAAGCCCTTGTAACCCCTGAACCCTAAGCCTGTAAATGCATCGCACAGAAAGAGAATGCGCCTTGGCGATATATTGATTGAATTTCGAGCTTTTGCCCTTCAATCCGTTTCGATTCCCACTTATTGCAGCAACCACGAGAGTTCAGTTCCACCTCGGCTATCTATCATTTTGAGTGCAGTGTTGCAGGTTTTCTACGATTTAGCGATGCGTGGGTACGAAAACGGCTAGAACGGATGTACTGAGATAAAATCCCTAAACCCTGAGCCCAAAACCCCTAAGCCCTAAATCCCTAAACGCTAAACCCTGAACCGTAAACCCGAAACTGTAAACCCAAAACCACAAACCCAAATCCCTAAACCTTCTTTTTCTAGTCACAATATTAAGTGAATCTCCGACTACCGGATGCAGCGCTCCAACTATAGAAGATTTCTCAGAATTGGGGTTTAGGGTTTAGGGTTTTTTGTTAGGGTTCGGGTTTACGTAATCCAAAATGCTGAGCCCTTCCCGGTTGAAGGCAATCAAGGGCTTACAGGGTGTAAAGTTATCCCACGTATTTCCAACCCCGGGAAAGAGGTGGCTAGGGTATGTATGTATGTATCCTTCGATCGGCACGGTGAGGCTGGGCAGTTGCCATCAGATTTCCCAGTGGCTTACGTGTGTGATCTTGTGAAGTGGCAGCCACTGAGAGCGCCCCTGTGTGAATAAGGTCGGCCGGCCTTTATCGATGCTCCTTAATGATTTTGCCAAGAGTCTGTCGGCAGCCGTCACCCTAAGGGTCCAAGTACCTAATAATCATATACCCTCCCAAATATTAACCTAGATAACTACTATCCGCAACCAAAGTACCTGATTATTTGGTCCTTTGGACCCTTAGGGTCTTGTCTAGGGCCCACATGATTCACCAGCAGATTTTGTGGCTACCTACCAGCGCGCAAGTGATCTCGAGCCCCGCTCGTGTCAACAGAAGCCTCCACAGCTCCGCTTCCCTGCTATCCTAAATATGAGATGGGCCAAACCAAACAAAGGAACTATCATGGAGACTATACATACTAGGTTTCCCGGTGGCCCCTTTCTTGTTCGTACTATTTGGTTTTAAAAAGGAAACCCACATAAGAAAAAGCACACAAGGGTGCTACTCAGGAACCTAGCATCGGTAGGTCCAGGATCGGGGGCTGAGGCTTATCTTGATGCCCTATCCGACTGTTTCCGGAGTTTCGCGTGGGCCATGGATGGCAAGAACAGCTCAAAACTTCAGAACTGCATGGCTTCTATAGTTCCTTTCCCTAAACCCTAAACCCAAAAACTTACTCTATCTCCTCAACAGTTCTTTCTGGAGCCCGAAAACTCCCACACTGTGCTTTGCAGTGCATGTAGAATGCATGCTCGATTGTATGTACTGAAGGGGCCTTGACCTTAATAATTAGAACAGGGTGTTGAGCTCCTTTATAGTATAGTTGTTATAACAAGGACCCCTAAGAGTAATATTGGTGATTATTTAGGCTTCTTTATTAGGGTTTGCGGGTCTCTGGGTCAAGGACCGAAAACCAACAACGAAGCACTGGATCGAATTCCGGACCGCATGCCGTAGATGCCAAGTTAAGGACCCTAGCCCTGACCCTAAACCAACCCGACCCTCAGCATCAAAGCCTACAGTTTTTGAGCTGCAAGCCTGAACCTTATCCGCAAACTCAAACCTTCAACCCCCAAACCTTAATATAGTGGCCTTAATAACTACTCATACTATTTTTGGGCTTCCTCATCATAGTTATAATATACATTAATTGAATATACACCGATTCCCTGTTCTGATTATGAAGGCCCCTACATTAAACCGATTAGGCTCTCTTCTTCAACAACCAGGTCCAAAAAAGTTCAAACTTTTTACGGTAGACCTAATATACAAGGCCAAAAAGTTTAAAGTTCTCCCTTTGGCTATCTAAGTAGGGCTCCTCCAGGACATCGGTGCCCCCTGCTGCAATCAGGGTGGCCACTGCAGGGAGCCACCGTCTGCCGACCTACCGGGCACGGCGAAGGCTAGGGGCTTAGGGTTTAGGGGGTTAGGGTTTAGGGTTTAGGGTTTTAGGCTTTAGGGTTTAGGGGTTAGGGTTTAGGATTTAGGGGTTTAGGGTTTAGGGTTTAGGGGTATAGTTTAGGG